GTCCCATCTTGAGCTGTACAGGATGCTCCTTGGAGGCCCCTCTCACTACACTTGGTGTAAAAAGGCTCTGTATTTGTGCTCCTTCTTCTTTGAGCTCAGAGCTCAGCTTCTGCCAAAGAAACTCTCTTCACAAAAATCCTCCCTCCATCTCCAATGTGTTGTGCCATCTACCTAGTTCTTAGTTAACCTGTTTGGCAATTTTGGCATTGTCTTCTGGCATCTCCAACTTAAATTTCACACCTATTTTTATCTCAGTACCTTTTTCAAAATTTCTGACTTTATGTCCTATTACACAGCATTCAGCAATTCCTAATTTGTGAGAGTGCAGTTAGGTGACATTCTTTTCTGAATAGGATGCAGATACAACTGGAATTCTTCAACTTTCCACTTTGTGTTTTGTCCTTGTAGAATTTATGAAATTTAGTGTTTGTTTCATTTGTGATATTGTGCATTATGATGTAATGCACAAATCCTTGAGTCAATAACAATAGTGAGCTAAATCCAGAGAGAATAAGGAATATGCCACCATGGGAAGAGGTTAATGCTATCATTTCCCTTTGTAAAGTGTTCATATTGTCCAATGTTTTGAGAAACTACATTGTCACATACATGCTAGTGGATATTATGATTCTGCAGGCCAGCCTGGTTTCTGTACACTACATTTACCATGGGAACCTACAGCTAATAAAACAGCACCCTAGTGCTCCTAAGAGAGTCAAGTCCTTATGGCTTTTGAGGATGGTAAATAGATTGGGGGTGCTGGGATGGCTGTGTAATCATACCAAAAAGGCATGTTCTCTGTGGTCTAAAAAATAAAGGACCAAGAATAAGACAAGACAAACACTAATGGTAACTGTGAGTGCCAAGAACACAGTGCCCATGTTGGTACCCTAGAGTAGAGGCAGTTTGAATGCAATGCAAATACATAATATAAATCAACATCTCATTACACGCTCAGATCCTTCAACATGGAGTTCCAACTCATTTTCTACTTCGGCTTCTCTTCTACACTCATCCTGTATTCCAACTGGACTCTGTAGGGCAGAGTCTGTAGGGCCGCCTCATGCCTTCTTGGCATGGCAGATGCTTAAAGTGCTTTCTGCCGCCATAGTCCACTTTAGGATTCCTGAGGTTTGTGTGTCTATTTCAGTCCAGTGAGGCCTGGCCAAAAACTGGGAGTCCCATCTTGAGCTGTACAGGATGCTCCTTGGAGGCCCCTCTCACTACACTTGGTGTAAAAAGGCTCTGTATTTGTGCTCCTTCTTCTTTGAGCTCAGAGCTCAGCTTCTGCCAAAGAAACTCTCTTCACAAAAATCCTCCCTCCATCTCCAATGTGTTGTGCCATCTACCTAGTTCTTAGTTAACCTGTTTGGCAATTTTGGCATTGTCTTCTGGCATCTCCAACTTAAATTTCACACCTATTTTTATCTCAGTACCTTTTTCAAAATTTCTGACTTTATGTCCTATTACACAGCATTCAGCAATTCCTAATTTGTGAGAGTGCAGTTAGGTGACATTCTTTTCTGAATAGGATGCAGATACAACTGGAATTCTTCAACTTTCCACTTTGTGTTTTGTCCTTGTAGAATTTATGAAATTTAGTGTTTGTTTCATTTGTGATATTGTGCATTATGATGTAATGCACAAATCCTTGAGTCAATAACAATAGTGAGCTAAATCCAGAGAGAATAAGGAATATGCCACCATGGGAAGAGGTTAATGCTATCATTTCCCTTTGTAAAGTGTTCATATTGTCCAATGTTTTGAGAAACTACATTGTCACATACATGCTAGTGGATATTATGATTCTGCAGGCCAGCCTGGTTTCTGTACACTACATTTACCATGGGAACCTACAGCTAATAAAACAGCACCCTAGTGCTCCTAAGAGAGTCAAGTCCTTATGGCTTTTGAGGATGGTAAATAGATTGGGGGTGCTGGGATGGCTGTGTAATCATACCAAAAAGGCATGTTCTCTGTGGTCTAAAATAGCACTTCTTATTTACCGAGAGACTATATAATATATATATGTTTTGTTTGTTTATTGTCAGTCTCTCCCAAAAAATATAATTTCCAGGAAGGTAGGGAGCTTTGTTTTGTTTTCTCTTGTATCCTCCATGCCTGGAATCCAGTTCATGAGAAGTCTATATAATTAATGAGTTAAGAAGAAAGGGTTAAAGTAAGGGAAGGCAGGTTTTTGGCTCAACACAAAGATTTTTCTAATTCTGTATACTGTCTGTAGGCCGGACAGTTCTCTCCAGCAACTCCCTAGTGCTACAGGATCTGCATGACTGTTGGGCTGGGACATTTTTGAGATGACACTTTGGAGGTGTTTGACTACCAAGTTCACTTCTGGCTTTGTGGTTTTAAAGTTGGATCTTTGCCAAAGAATTTACAATGGAGGGAACCCAGGACAGTGATATTGTATTGTTAATGATGACAACTAATTGAACTTGGTATGAGAGGTAAGGAGTCAGAGAAGGCACTGAGACTTCCAACCTAGGGATACTGGTGCCCTTGAAGGGAAAACCATAAGTTCCATAGAAATGTTGGCTTGTGGGCAAACTTTAAGCAATGGTTAGAAATGCTGAGTTTAATGTGTTAGTGGATCACACAGGAGACATCAGGTGATTCTATTTAGGTAGATAATGGAGCTCAAGTGAGGCTGAGGTATGTCATGCCCATTTGTTAGAAAAATCCACACACCCCCTCTACAAGAAGGTATTTGATAATGATACTTAAAAGATGTCACAGTGGAACAGACCACTTAGCTACATAATTTCATCTAATTGTGTAGAATGTAGGTATTGTAGTTCCATTGCAAGATAAGAAAACAGAGGCCTGGAGTGACTTTATTGCTTATCAGGGGCAGAGCTCTAACTTGAATCCCTGTCTTCAGAGTCTAAGTGTGAAGCCCTTTCTCCAGCATTCTGCATCAGGGAGCTTGGAGTCACTAGGCTAAGATTCCCCCTTAATCTTCTCATTCTCAGAGCTGAATAGCTGGCTGCTCATTGGCAGCGAGAGAGTGTCTACCACTTGTCCTTGACTCAGCTGTGGGCCCTCCGTCCTCCAATTCCAGTTCCAGAGCTTACCACCTGCTACCAGTGAGCCTCACAGTACAACTGCAAGTTAATGATGGTTGCATCAGCCAAACTTTCTTGGATGGGCTGGTACAACCGTCTCCCTGATACAAGGCTATCAAAGCAATGGGCTCTTTTTTTTTTCTCTCCCCAGTGATGGTGTTTTCTGTGAGAGCAGCTAATGGGTAGTCAAGTGCAATGGCTTAGGATCTGGGAGAAAATGAGCTCAACAGGGAACCATGAATAAATTGTTAAAGACAAGTGGAAATGAGAAGTGGAGGGAATTTGGAGAGGTAGATGAAGAAGGCTTGGGGGAGCATTTAGACAACACCGAGAGAATGCTGCGCCACTTCAGTTTCAGGGGAGCATTTGCCCAGCTGTGGCGTCGTGGTACCCCTTGTTGTACACTGGATTTATTTCAGCAGGCAAAGAAGTGAGAGGCCACAGGAATACTGGGAGCCAATGAACAAAGAGTGCTTTGGAAAAGTAATTTTCTATCTCATATAGCTGACAGCAGCACCTACTCTAGTTTCACAACCTTTTGTGTGAAAGCTAACTTTTATTTGCTATACAGGAAAGGCTGGCTAGTACCTGCCCAGCACCCACAAAAGGTGGAGATTGGGTCAATTTTTACTCAGGAGGATTGTTCCTTGCTTTGGAAAGCTGAAGGAACATAGATACAAGGGCTTAGGGTATTTTTTTCACTTGCGATTTTTGGAACCATAATTCTGCACTACTGGATTAGGGCATGTTCTATCAAACTAAAAATCAAAAGCCTTCCTATGGGGAAAGTCTCAATGTTACAGCTGTAAGAGGTGACAGCCGCATTTTAGCCATCAAAAATAATTTATTAACCATGTCTGTGCAAAATACTATGGTAGGCACCAAATCCCAGGGGCTTCCTGTTTCAATGCATCCTCTGCTCTCTGCAGTCTTTTCAGTGTACCGTTTGGCTTTCCACCTGTGAATAAAATGGATACCTAGAAAACTTCATCTTTTGTGGAGACCTACTGCAGGATAAAGAGAACTGGTTCCATCATGCTGGCCAATCATACAGTGCTGGGGAGGTGTACTGGGGGCTACCATCCTCAACCTCTTATCCTCAGAGTTTGTAAATAAAAACATTTTTTTTCCAGTTTCCCCTTTAGACAAGGAAATCTGGGGGAGAGTTGACAAACGAGGTTTTGCACCATCAGCATAAACCACGCTGAAGCTGGTTTTTTACCCTTTTCTTGCTCCCTCCTTTGCCCTGTCCCTTCTCCTCCCCCACAGGTCCCACTCTGCACCTGACATATAGGGACGGACCCAGGTGCCTCTCTATCCCAGGGGAGAAAACAGCAACATAATTTTGGATACCAACCCGATTCCTTCAAAATATTACCTCTCATAATCAGTTGCGCCGTAAAGTGTGTACCTGTGCGTATATCTACATCTAAAGACAATACTTTTCAAAAAGGTAAGTTCTCAGAAAGCAGCTTGGGGAGAGCTGCCAGGTGTGATTGAACAACGGTCGTCTGCTGCACCAACATTTCTCAGAAACTAGAAGGGAAGGTGGCTCTTCATCCAGCAACACCCGCCATCAGGCAGGGGAGGGCAGACACCCTCCCACAAGCCCTCCCCTCTCCTTCGCCTGCAGCGTCAGTCTCTGACCCCACTGGGTCCGCACCGGAGACCCTCTCCCAATCGGTCGGGAGCTGCTTTTGCCACACACTTCCAAGCAGGGGGTTTCTTGGATTATTTATCTGTGCACATTAAGAAACCACCATTAGGTGTTGGTGGGAGGCGCTACTTTGACTGAAGCCCAGCCCGTCCGCCGCGGCTCCGCGCACACCGCACCCGCCCGGCAGCCGTAGAACCCTCCTGGAGACGCCTCTGGCCCGGGGTCCGCGTAGCCCGGGATCCCCGACGCGGTTTCTCGCTTCACCTCCCCAAGCGCGACCGGGGAGCGGCGCCGGAGAGTGATTCCGAGTTCTCTGCGGGTTCCCTCCCCCGCGGATCCGACTGCACCCGCTGCGGGTGCCCCGTGCGCCCCCGGCCCTGGGCTCGCGGCTGCGGCGCAGCTCGCTGGAGTTTGACTCTCGGGCGGCGGCGGCAGCGCGGACCCGCAGGCGGCGGGATCGAGGCGAGCCCGGCCGCTCGCCCTCCGCGCTGCGCTCGGATTGGTCTCTCCCGGAGAGTGCTGGCCGAGGGTTGGCTGCGGGCCGGCTGAAGAACAGGTGCACCTCGCCGCCTGGACTAGCGGAGCAGCCGCCGAGGAGCGCGGCGCGCCGGGTCGGGCGAGCGGCGGCAGCCAGGCCGGCCCCCCTGTGTCGGAATGCGGCTCTCCGGCGTCCTGCATCCCGCAGCCGGCCGGCTCAGCTCCTGAAGGCGACGCGAGGCCCAGCAGCGGCGCGGGCGGGCGCCCCGGGGAGCGGCCGGGCGCGGCGCCCCGAGGATGCCGGCGCGGCTGGAGCGCAAGCAGGCGGCGAGCCGTAGCGGCAGGCGCGGGGCCCCGGCGTGCGGGAGGCCGCTTGGCGGGCTGCAGACGCGCCCCGCCGCTCCCTGACCGGCCGGCGGCGCCGGGGGCCCGTCTCGCCCCTCTTGCGCGCTCCTCGCCACCCCCTCCCCGGCCGCGTCCCCTCCCCCGCTCTCTCCTCCCCGCCCGCCGCCCGCCTCTCGGGGGGAGGGGCGTGGGGGCAGGGAGCCGATTTGCATGCGGCCGCCGCGGCCGCTGCCTGCGCCCGAGCCCGCCGCCGCCGGAGCCCGCGCCCGCTCCCGGCCCGCGCGGCCCCATGCCTCTGGCGCGGCCCTCGGGGGGGCGAAGGTGAAGACCGGCTCCTAGGATGAGTGAAGGGGCTGCCGCTGCCTCCCCACCTGGAGCCGCTTCGGCAGCCGCCGCCTCGGCCGAGGAGGGCACCGCGGCGGCTGCGGCGGCGGCGGGCGGGGGCCCGGACGGCGGCGGCGAAGGGGCGGCCGAGCCCCCCCGGGAGTTACGCTGTAGCGACTGCATCGTGTGGAACCGGCAGCAGACGTGGCTGTGCGTGGTGCCTCTGTTCATCGGCTTCATCGGCCTGGGGCTCAGCCTCATGCTGCTCAAATGGATCGTGGTGGGCTCCGTCAAGGAATACGTGCCCACCGACCTGGTGGACTCCAAGGGGATGGGCCAGGACCCCTTCTTCCTCTCCAAGCCCAGCTCCTTCCCAAAGGCCATGGAGACCACCACCACGACCACTTCCACCGCATCCCCCGCCACCCCCTCTGCCGGCGGCGCCGCCTCTTCCCGGACGCCCAACCGGATTAGCACCCGCCTAACCACCATCACGCGGGCGCCCACCCGCTTCCCCGGACACCGGGTGCCCATCCGCGCCAGCCCGCGCTCCACCACCGCACGGGGCACTGCGGCCCCCCCGACGGTCCTGTCCACCACGGCCCCTTTCTTCAGTAGCAGCACGCCGGGATCCCGACCCCCGGGGCCAGGAGCCCCCAGTACCCAGGCCATGCCCTCCTGGCCCACTGCGGCATACGCCACCTCCTCCTACCTTCATGATTCTACTCCTTCCTGGACCCTGTCTCCTTCTCAGGATGCTGCCTCCGCCTCGTCCTCAACGTTTTTCCCCTCCTCTACCACCACCACCACGCCGGAAACGAGCACCAGCCCCAAATTTCGTAAGTAAACAGTGTGCCTGAACTCCGATTGAGTACTGTTTCCTTTCCGCCCTCCTGCCGTCTCTTCCCCTCGCCGCCTGTGTTCTAGCATCCCTCACCCCCCCCAGCCAGTCCAGGTTCGGAGCCCAGACTGAGATAGTTAAGACTGGCCGCTAGGGAGGAAAAAGGTGCCGGGCTGTTGTGGGTCCTTATGGGGTGCGGGCGGTAGGAAGCGCAGGGAGACTGTCAGGCTCCACACGCCCTACTTCGGTAGGTCCCAAATGAGAACAGATCGCCCAACTCTCTTCAGAGGGTTAATGCGAGCGCGATCCCTCCTCACTGCGGACCTGCTGGCGAGCAAGCGACCGAGGGAGGGAGGGCCTTTTCCCCAAAGCTCCGAGCCCTCTCCCCGCCTGTAGGAAAGAGCGAAAGAAGAGCCCAATCCGATTGACCGTCGATAATCCACAAAGGGAAGTTAGGTCCATGTGAGGGCGTGGGAGAGGGGCTATGAAGATTAGATGGACATGTTAATAGGATGAAGCCTAGATACTTTCAGCAGCCCTGACCCGGACAGGGACCAGAAGGGTTAATTAGAAGCCATTGGGGGAGGTAGGGGAAGGAGGCGATTCTCGCAGAGGGCTACATGATCACCCCCAGCCTGCCCACAGCCATTCCAAGGGGCATGGAAATGGATTCTGTGGCCACCCAGAGTGAGTTAACGAGGGGGCAATATGATGGGGGCCCTACTGGGCTGCCGCCTCTAGGGTCTTAACGGAGGAGGAGGAGTTTTCAGCTTTGCCAAGCATTTGCTTTTGTTCCTTTCCCAAAGGTGGGGTGTGAACTTCATCTCCCCTCGCTCTGTGCCTGAATAACGTAGACAGAATGGGCCACTCCAGAGGGAAGAAAACATCCAGCTCTTTTGAAACAGGTCACTCTTTCAGTGGAGCGTTTTCAGTCCGCTTAGGTGCTGTCAGTTCTGGCCAGTTTACCCTAGCATGATAGCTTTCTATTGATTTGTATTGAAGGTATATATTTTCTCTGTGTCTTTACATATGTTTTAGATGACTTAATTGATCGTCCCCTCCCACCTCTACACACCTTGTTCTTATTCTAAGGAAATCTTAGGAAGCTTCTGAATCTGACTGTTGATCAGGATATGGGAAAGGTTTGTGCAACCTGTGAAGGTTATTTAGGACAAACCCCCCAGCTTGACAGTTGAAGTTTTGTGCAGGGCTGTTCTGCACAAACTGTCTGGTTGTGCTGTCTTTGTACTGTATTTCTGTTGTGAGCCACAGCATCTGGGGGGAGAGGAAAATTCCTCATCATCTTTAACTCTTCAGTAGGAATACCTGGGTTGCTTTTAGTCCTCTGGTAATTTTTTATTGCCCTGGCCTGTCTTAACCTGGGTGTTTTTTAACCCTTGAAACTTTTTTTTTTATAAGGATTTAGTGTGTTTGTTGGTAAGGTCCAAGAGTGAAATTCCTTATGCCCTTACTCTGCTTCGGGGTAAAAACAGGCTAGAGGATAAATTGGGAAACAGAAGAGAAGGAGGGAATCTGCCACAAACCAGAATGGCAGTCAGACGGGTAACTTACTGCCTCTCTGTCCTTCCGCTGAGGCAAGTCAGCTATGAGAGCACATTTTCTCAGGATGTGTTCGGAGGCTTCCATCTAGCTTGGGTTCTGTGGAGGGGTAAAGGGATGTCAAGTGCATGGTGAAAATACTCTTGGGTATTTTCATGTGTGTCTATCCTGGGTAGAAATACATGTGTGTCTATCCTGAAGACCCCGGGTTTTTCATGTTTTTTTTGGATGTGGTTGATAGGAATAATGGAGTGTAGGTTTACTTCCCCACCATATGTGTTTGGATGTGGGGTGGGGCGTGGGGGGAGGCTTTGCACATGGCAGGGGTATTTCATGTTTTTTTCAGTTGATTTCCTTGTGTTCCATTCCTGAGGTCTTTAAAGAAAAACCCAAGGTAATTATTTCTACCTCTCCATGCTCCCTTCCTACATTCTGTAGAAAGGAATAGCAGCCTCTTTAATAAGTAATGATTATTGACAGGATTCTCAGCCCCAAGGAAAAGGGTGGGGGGAAGGAATCTGTAAATGGTGTCAACGTTCACTTAGACATATAAGCAGTATTTGTTTTATGTGTATCTGAGGTCCAGCTCTTGCCCTTTTTTAAACCTCCAACAAAGTATTAAGGGATAAAACCCAAGAATGCAAATCCAGCTGCAACTGACCTGGTTTGTATATATCAATAAGGGAAATTTTAATGAAAGGAAGATTATGTAGTTTCCATAAAGGATGAGCTTAAATAGGTAGAGTGTATAGTAATTTAAATAAAAAGGATAGTTTAATTTTTTTTCTTTTTCTTTCTTTTTTTTTGGTTCAAGATTTCAGGATGATTAACAAAAGGAAATAAAGATCTCATGTGAGGGATTATGAGCACTGGTACCGTAGGCTGAATAATGGCCTGAATATCTCGCATTTGTATTTTTCACTTGTTTTGATTGTGTGTCTAAAGTTCCCAGAAAAGAAATTTCCCTTTTTCCTAGCTTCTACCACTCCAGTCTTCAGTAGATTATTTTTTATTTCTTTTTCCTTTTTTTTTAAAATGAAAGCCATTGATTGTGTTGTAGCACCTGAGGACAGCAAAGGATTATGCTCTGTTTTTTTCAAGACCAACTCAGATTCTTTAAAGGCCAAGGTCTCTGCTCTTGAACTGAACATCTCAGGACTTAAAGAATGAATGAATGTCTTTGTGTTTGTCTTAGATCAGTCAGTCTTTAAAGGCAGCACAGCTCTTTGGAGTAGAAGAGGTTGGTTCAGTCTAGAATAAACAGACTTGCTAATAGGTAATAGGATTTTTGCAAACAAAAGCTGTTTTGGATATGGGAAAGTCCCAATTTCTGTGTTTCTGTAGGATCAAAGACAAAGATTGAACTTGAAAGGCAGAGGAAGGAGGGCTTGGAATTGACTCTTTTTCTCACCCTCCAACATTTAGACCATCAGCCAGACCTAAACTTTATTCTTTTACTGGGATATGTGTTCCCAGTTAGTTCCCCATGACTTGTGTTTTCTTTGTGCTTTAACAACAATGCTTTTAAAACAAATACCTTCAACATTGCCACTAGGAGGTTATCTCACCAAAAATGTCTTTGAAGCATTTTGCATCTGAAAGTGTAGGTTAGTTTACAAATTCTCAGGACATATGGTAGAGGATCAGTGATTTTGAGCAGTGTACAAACAGCCTTTTCAGCACACTGAATTGTATTTTCAGACTTGAATCAAATATGGATAATGTGTCAGTGCAATTGTAGGCTGTTACTGTAACTCAGCTGAAAGCATGTTTAACAGGTAAAAACAGTCACTGCTTAAATTCAAAAGACAGAGACACTTTTAATGGATTATTCTTTGCATGATATTTAAAGATATGTAGTTAATACTACAGTGGGTAAGATCACAAATCTCAAATAGTGTAGAAATAAATGTAAGATGTATCACTGATATGTAAACATGGTCTGGGGGTAATTTTGATACAAGCACATCTATATAAATAAAACTTTACCTGGTCGTACCTATTGTAATTTTGAAGAAAGCTGTTGATAACATTGACTGTTTTCCTACCTGTTTTTTTCAAATATTTTCAGTCTTTTAATAAGAGTACTCTTAGTTGCTTTAGAAGCAACCTCAGATATAATTGTTTCAATCAAGTTACTCTTACATGTTGTCTTCTATCTACATGAATCAAGGCCATTAAAGGAATTTCAGCATAGAAGGTACTGACCCCAATCATGTGTGGTAGCCACAGCGAGAGGTCAGACCTGGAGATCAATATTTCTTATGAAATCCAATTGAAGGCATTTTTATGAGCATATGCTGCAACCCGAGTATGTTTTGATCTCGTTTGACCTTACTATAGGATTATGAGACTTATCTGCTTTAATCAATTATACTGTACCTTTTGCTCTTTAGATCCCTGTGTTATATATCATGGTCCTCATACACATACACACAAAAAGGATGGGGGCAGGGGTGGCATAGAATTGGCAAGGCTCTTTTAGGGCCATGTTTGGTTTGACCTCAGTATGTTAAGACAGTGTGGTATAAGCATTCCCCAATGATTCCCTGGACTTGGGGGCGGG